GGATTTTGATTATGGGAGACTTTAATCATAAAGAGATAGATTGGATAAATCTTGACCCACACAGTGGTGAGGACTCCTTTGGGGCAAGATTCCTAGATTGCGTACAAGGGAATTTCCTACACCAACATGTAATGGAACCAACAAGAGCCAGGGGTGGGGATGAGCCATCACTACTTGATCTGGTGTTCACAGATAATGTGTTGGATATTGAAAATATTGAGTATGAACCACCAATTGGAAAGAGTGACCACTGTGTGTTGTTGATGGAGTATATCATTGAAGACATTCTTCCTGAGAGTAGAGGCACTGAGGACATGAGGAGGAACTATCAGAAAGGAGATTACATCAAAATGAATGAGCTTTTTGCAGTTATTGACTGGAGAACCTTATTTTACAACAAATCTGTACAAGAAATGTATGACATCTTTTGTGAGAAATATGGGAAGATTGTAGATTGCTGCATACCTGTCACCAAAGTAGGTGTAATTCATGCCAGAGAGAAATGGTTCGATAATGGGTGTAAAAGAGCTAAGGAGTGGAGAGACAAATGCTGGAAAAGGTATAGGAGGAGAAAAAACATAAATGCCTGGCAAACCTACAAAAGAGCAAGAAATGACTACCTAAGTAAAAGGAGAGAGGCAGAGAAAGATTATGAGAGGGACATCACCAGGAAGGCGAAAGAAAATCCCAAGCTTTTCCACAGCTTTATCAGAGGAAAACTGAAGGTAAAAGAACAGGTTTTAAGGCTAAAGAGAGCGGATGGAAGCATCACTGAGACGGACGAAGAGATCTGCAAAGAATTGAACAAGGAGTTTCAGTCAGTATTTACAGTAGAAAATACCCCACCCCCTCAGATTGCAGTGATAGAAGCTCAAGGGCCGGTATTAGAGAACATCAACCTTACAGCCACAGAGGTATGCAAAGCGCTGATGGATTTAGATGTTCATAAAGCTACAGGTCCTGATGACATATCCCCTCATGTGCTTAAAAAATGCGCAAACACAATATCAGTGGCACTAAGTATCATATTTAAGGAGTCATTGGAGTCGGGGGAGATTCCAAGATGCTGGAAACAAGCAAATGTGATACCTATCTTCAAAAAGTGAAGGAGGGATACGGCTCTGAACTATAGACCAGTTTCCTTGACCAGCATAGTTTGCAAAGTTATGGAGAAACTACTAAGGAAACATATCTCTCTTCACTTGGAATCCTTCAACTTTTTGTCAGTGAGGCAACATGGCTTCAGAGAAGGAAGATCAACAGTAACAAACTTATTAGAATTTTATGATGAGGTAAGCCAAATCTTACAGGAAAGAGAGGGCTGGGCAGATTGCATATTCCTAGACTTCCAGAAAGCGTTTGACACTGTTCCACATGGGAGACTTATTAGGAAGCTGCAATCAATGGCTAGAATAGGTGGAAATGTCTTGGAATGGATAAAAACTTACTTAGAAGGAAGGGAACAGAGGGTTAGAGTAAGACACTCAGTGTCTGAATGGAGAAGAGTTAGTAGTGGAGTTCCACAGGGTTCAGTTTTAGGGCCACTTTTGTTCCTTGTATATGTAAATGACCTACCAGAGTCTGTAAATTCATTCATGAATATGTTTGCAGATGATGCAAAGATTGTGAAGAAAGTAAAAAACGAGAACAATGGTAGAGAACTTCAGGAGGATCTAAATAATCTGCATGAGTGGTCAGAAAAGTGGCTAATGAAATTCAATACCTCAAAATGTAAGGTAATGAGAATGGGTACAAGTGCAAGAAGGCCCAAGCTTGACTACTCGGTGGCTGGAGTACAACTTCAGGAGACAGAAAATGAGAGAGATCTAGGAGTAAACATATTGGCAGATTTGTCTCCAGAAATACATATAAATGGCGTAGTAAGGGCAGCATATGCATTCTTATCAAATGTAAGGGTAGCCTTCAGGCACATGGACAAGGAAATGTTCAGAAATATTTATGTAACCTATGTGAGGCCAAAACTCGAATATGCAGCCCCCTTTTGGAATCCGCACTTGAAAAAGCACATAGCTAAGCTTGAAAAAGTTCAAAGACATGCCACAAAACTGGTGCCAGAAATACGCAATCTCGGTTATGATGAGAGGCTGAGGGAATTAGACTTGCCATCACTCGAAGCTAGAAGAGTAAGGGGGGATATGGTGACAGTCTTTAAATTCCTTCATGGTTATGATAGAGTGGATAGGGATCGATATTTCGATATGGCTGGCTCTAGAACTAGAGGTCATAGTTTGAAGCTTCGGAAGAAAACTTGTTTGCAGGATGTAAGGAAATACTTTTTCAGTGTAAGAGTAGTTGATAATTGGAATTCGCTAAGCGAGGAGGTAGTTAATGCTACCTCAATCCATAGTTTTAAGGACAGGTATGATAAGTATCACTAAGTCTAAAAATGGAACCGATCAGGAGACGGGAAGATACGAGCTTTGGGCTCTTTCCCGTAAACACAATTAGGTAATCACAATTAGGTAATCACACACACACACACACACACACACACACACACACACACACACACACACACATACTCACACACACACACACACACACACACACACACACACACACACACACACACACACACACTATATATATATATATATATATATATATATATATATATATATATATATATATATATATATATATATATATATATATATATATATATATATATATATATATATACTCCAGAAATAGTTCAGGTGAAGACAGGGCAAATGAGGATATTAAAAATAATTTATAACCGCCATTCACTACAAGTCAATCGATCATTTGATAATGTCTAAAGTAATACGTTTCGTCATGACTCCAAAATTCTCTGACTTACCTAAGGCATCTCTATGAGAATGAAAACTAAGTAAGAGGCAGAGACAAATTAAATAATAATAATAATAATAATAATAAACTTTATTTCCATTTTACAATGGGTATTCGTCAGCCAGGACAAGCCCCAACCCCCCACTGTGATGTCCACCCACAGCAGTTCCTGCCAGTAAACAGCTTAAACTCTCGGTCTTGGACGGGGACCGATCTTTCGACCTCGTGAATGCGAAGCCAGCGCGTTACCACTGTACTAGCCAGATGCAAACACAGCCGTTATATTTAACAAGATATGTTTAAAAGAGAATATACTGCCAAAACATCCTAATATAATATATATATATATATATATATATATATATATATATATATATATATATATATATATATATATATATATATATATATATACATATGTATATATATATATATATATATATATATATATATATATATATATATATATATATATATATATATATATATATATATATATATATATATATATAACTAATAATAATAATAATAATAATAATAATAATAATAATAATAATAACAATAATAATAATAATAATAATAATAATAATAATAATAAAAATAATAATAATAATAATATAAATAATAACAATAATAATAATAATAATAATAATAATGATAATAATAATAATAATAATAATAATAATAATAATAATAATAATAATAATAATAATAATAATAATAATGATGATGTCCACTTACAGAACACAAGGAATTTTGCATCACAATGGGAATTAATCAACAACTGAGCTACACAACATTAGTAACGGACACACTGCAGGACATGGGGGGATTTTTCCTTACCCCGAAGTAAGTACTGTACAGATACACATTTATATGTGTTTCATATTGGTCCCCTTTCGAATGGGGGTGGATACACAAATGTTGGAGCTTTAAGGGTGTTGAAGGTTGGATACCTTTCCTAAAGCCATGCAGTGGGATCGAACACGAGTTAGTCCACTTATCTTGTAGGTGACCCAAGCAGGGTGGAGGTGATGAATTGCGGTAACCTTTTATTCCCAATGTGATAAGAGATATGATAGAGGTATATCAGCTCTGGAGAATGTGCGCTTTGACTTGGCCATCCCCTATGCAAGAGAGATTGGGGCACTGTTTATATATATATGTATGTATTAAAATGCTGAACTGTTAACATAGAGTCTAAAATGGTAGGAAAAGCCCGTTAAATAAAACAACGAATATATATATATATATATATATATATATATATATATATATATATATATATATATATATATATATATATATATATATATATATATATATATATATATATATATATATATATATATATATATATATATATATATATATATATATATATATATATATATATATATATATTAAAAGTACTTATTAATTTCGTGACCTAAACTGCTCACCTGTATGTATGTATGTATGTATGTATGTATGTATGTATGTATGTATGCATGTATGT